TGTGAACGACGTGTGGAATTGTGACGTGTTGTCCTGCTATGCTGAGGGAAACCTAACATAACAAGTGAGTTTTATATTACAAGAGTGATGGTGTTTATACAGGCTACAATGGTCAACATTGATGTACTGTCTAGTGTCTTCTGTGTAGGTCATGTCATGGTGCTGTCGGCTGTATGTATTTTAGAAAAAATATTTTCAAATATGAATTTTCATATTCATAATCAAAATTTCCGGATTTCTCGCAAAAGATTACCACAACATGTTTCTGGATAAAAAATGCAGAAAAAGTATTGCAGCTGACAACAGAGACATGACTTGAGTACCATTCATTTTGTCGGGACCTAGCCAGACTATTTATTTGTATCTAACCAAATGTAATTGACAGCATAATGAATTATGTTTTGAGAAGCATCAAGCAAAATCGAAGACTATTATACGTCATCTCCATCGTATACAAAATTGGGGTCACCAGAGAAGACTCCCAAATGTCATTGAAAACGATCAAAATTGGCTTTATTAACACAGGTTTCTATGGTGAAATTATTTCTTCATATCTCAAAGTTTTACTCGATGATATGAATCCTAGTTAGAACATTTCAAAAAAATTGACATACAATCTAGTGAGTTTCCAGAGTGATATTCGTTTTCCATTATTTACAATTGTTATCTCCCATAATGCATTGCATACATGTGCAGTAACATGCAAAACATTGCAAAATTTGAATTTGGTTCAAACTGCCTTCATGAGCTTAATGATAAAATTGATGTATTCAACAAAAAACTATATGATCAGCAAAATATTGCTGTTTTCAAAAATTAAATTAAACAGTATCTGCTACTCCAAGAGCACAGAACATGAATTTTATCTTAGCCTTTATAAATATCTTATGGCTACCTGCCTATTTAATAGTAGTGTACATCACATTTAGCAGCAGTACATCAAACGCAACTTAACAACAGAGACAACTTACATACATTCAGTCTGATATTTCATTTCATTTCAAGTGCATGTTAACTGCTCAGAGTGTCAAATTCTTTTTCAAGAATCAAATAAAGATCCGTTAAGTTATGTTATGCTTGATAGTTGACTGACATGTGTCTTCCCTACTGACAGATTCTTAATATTTTGAATGCCATTTAGAAGCAGGAATGCAATTTATAACACTTATGTTATCAGGTTTCCCCAAGAACTTATTGTCCATCAAAAAAAATCAAAACTGACTGATTCACTACTCTGAAGACCACACATCTTGATCTCAAGCTGGCAACTTAATATGACAAGCATATTTTGAAAATCGGTGTACATATTTCAAAATGTCTGTCTGAGAACAGCAAAAATACATAAATAATAACAGACATTGACTCCAAGGCCTAAAATAAATGTGCATTGTGCTGAGCACATTTGCACCAAACAAAGTGTGGAAAAATAACGAGAGCTCTAGTAATGTGACATGCATGTAATACCGGTAATATAGCCATAGTACTTTTACAGACATTGACTGTGAATAACACACAATGATAACCGTAAAAACAAAATAATTATATCACCTCAAAGATATTGATGTCTTGCTCATTGAAGGGTTGTTCATTGGTTTTATTCAGTAGCTGAGTTACTCCAATGATTTTATGCTCACTGTTGTAAATTGGCATGCATAGTAATGTGCGAGGTTTGAAATCGGTTCCCGGATCAATACCGACAGGAAATCTCTTATCGTTCTCTGCATCTTCAATATTCAATGTCTAGAGGAAAGTGAGCATGAACAATATCACAGTGATTTAATTTTCATGATTCATAAAAATATTTTTGACTGCATCATATGAGTCTAGGATAGCATCCACTTCAAGAACACTGACAAAGGACCCTCTAACTTAAAGGAAACATTCCAATCATCAATAGCAACTGTCCATTTCCAGGGAGTAATTGATTTCACTGCAAGGCTGTTACTTTAATTACCAGACAGAAAAACTACAAACACAGTAATTGGGATGATATCCCTCCGGGGAAATAATACAACATGATCAGTTGTACATAACAGTAATTTCCCAGCATGTCTATGCAATGTATGTTGTTTATAACCTTTATAGCTCTATGATGGGAAACAGACAGCAGATATTGACAGGCTTGGATTAATTATATTATTTGCTATATACACTTCCGTCATTATCAATACTAGGGCTGTATGGATTGTTTGATCTATGTACGAAAAAAAAAAAAAAATCACTGTACATACAATGTGAAAACTGCATAGATCGATCCACACATGGATCAATATAACCCCAAACTACAAGCTTTGGACTTGAGGATTGATACAACTTATATGTATATATCTTAATTACCTCTCCTGTCGTTGCTACGTGTTTGGCAATACCGTTCTCAGTTGTCCAAGCCATGGTATCTTTGCTGTGTAAAGACAGAAAAACAAGCTCATTAGAATATGTAAGATATACCAGAACATTATAACATTATACCAGTGGACTGGATACCAGTGTTATCCATGCTTATAACCTATTTCTATTAAGTCAGTCATAATATATACATTTTTTATCATATTACCACACACAAATTTGAGATATGGGAAGATGCCTTTATCAACAGAACCAATAATATAGGTTTCAAAACTGACAAAACAATGAATTTCATTTTTCTGGTTACAAAATTGAAGACTATGTGGTTTATGTATCACTTGGGACTTGGGACAAGTGGAACATCAATGAACAAAGATCTATTGAAACTGCTGCTAAGAATTCGATGAAGAGTCGCCAAGCATAAAAAGAAAGCTGACTGTTTATCAGTCTTTTCATCAAGGCTTTCTGAAAATCAGACCTCATCGTGGACAGTAAATTCTTGGTAAAAGAGACATCATGCTCTGTTACCTCTCAGGTTCAAACAGCATAGAGAGTCGACATGTCTTAAGACTATTGTTGCAAATGCTACCCCTTTGAGTGAAATTTTATTGATGAATGGAAATATTCTTGACTATAAGAGTTTGTCTTGTTACGAAGTGCGATTCATTAATCACCCAAGTCCCCATCAGTTACCCCACAATCTTACATTGAGATTGTTAAGGCCACTTTGGAAGAGCATGTCATATCACCACCTAAGCCTGCAGTGTAAGCACAGATCTGCCGGGGACCTCTGTGAGGGCCCTGTATGTATGCACTGGTATTAATAACCCACATCACGTCAATCGTGCACATTTGTGAAAGTGTCTTTGCAGAGCGTTGAGAGTCTGCGTTACAGCATCTAATCATGGCTCGTGGTGAACAGCCAATCAGAATATTTATCGCAAAACATGTACTGACCTAAATGGTCTGAGTAAGTAATACACAGTCAAAAATAGAGCACAATTAGTTTCAAATGACTCCAAGGCATTTATAATTTCGAATTGTTGAACTTACAGTTTTAATAATTGTCTTTATATTGACAAGAAATGTCTGTCAGTGCAGCTATTTGACAAATAACAGGGTAATCAAAAACAAATTTTGGGTTGGCATAGTCTCAAGTAGAATATTCTCCTGGAGGACATCAAGACTTGATAACATATGGAGTATATTCCATCAGAATAACACTCAATGTGTTTATAAATTGACAGCAGCTTAACCTCTAAGGCAGTATTCAATTAAAATTCCTAAAGCATGCAACCATGCATTTTTTATCCTAGTTTTATTAAGTACAAATTGGACAGAATACTTATGAATTTATAGGAACTGAAAAAGAATTCAAGTTCTAACTGAGTCCTGTTAAAGGGTGGTGGTCATCGCACAGGAACATTTGTGTTGATAAATATTAATTTTCCCACAATCCAATGCGCTCTTCTGATGGAAATTATGGGTAGGGGTTTTGACCTGTGTGCGGCATGAACAAATTAATGCCGGTGACATTCCAATCACCAAAGGAATTATCTAGTGAAAGCTTGGCAAGATCTAAGTTTATACCCACTGGTCTGTGCAATAGTCAAAGTCGCCATCTTTGTTCATATAAAACCAATATCTTGTGCACACGCAAGCCGATAACTACTACCCTTAAACATTACATTTATCAAGTAAAGACACCATACCTTGGTTCCTTAACTTCCGTGTTCTTGTTTTTGGCAAGTAAATCAAACGCCATCGCAAACTCCACCTCCTCCTATTGGGAATTGAGTCAGAAAAAAAGTATGAGAAAAGATACAATTGAGAGTACAGTTTGTAATATGAACACATCTTCAGTTGAAAAGTCAATTGAAGAAGTTATTTGAAGAATTGAGTTAAGGTTGAAAAGATGCGGAAATTAAGTTACATATTATTATAAATAAAAAAAGAAATAGAGAGAGAGATAGTGTCAAGGCAGCCAATTATACTTGTACACTGTAATAGGGATTACATGTAACGTCATATTTTAATTCAGAATGACCAAATCTCACAAATTAGATGCAATCATCAACATTTTCAATTACCTACTGTAAAATACTTTTATTTCTGCTTAGAATTTATTTTCGCTATTTTTGCTGAAGGAATGATTCAGTGAAAATAAAATCCAGTAAATATACCCATTTTTTTACATTAAACTAATCAAAAATCAGTGAATAAATTCCATATAACCAGCCAAAAAGCATTTTCAGCGTAAATTAATTCCAGGTAAAATAAAGTATTTTACAGTATTTTATAAAAACATAATCCATTTATCCACAATTTGTAATAGAAACCAATTTTTTCTCCCATGGATAGAACATACTATCATTAACCCATTTGCAATCATCAATGGAATAAAACATAGCCCTGCACGAGATAAACAATTATTCTTGATTACTATAGATGGACGTATAGTTGAACAATTTCTTGGGTTTGAGAAGCATAACAACCATCATTGATTCCATTAAATTTGAAATAAGATAATACATTTCTTAAAAAACAAACAGTGCAACCACGTAGCTGTGTGCAAAATAAATTTGTATGGCTTGACCATCAGGAAGTGACGAAGAAAAATAATTTTCTTTGAAACCATCCTTTATATTTAAAGCTAAACTCACCCGGAGGGCATTCATTACTTAGCTATTAGTTTTATACTGGTCAACTTAATTCCAACTACATCATTGTGGAAACTTTCAATTTTATCATGGCTAACAAATAATATTCTGTTTTAAACCAAAATAGGACTAAATGAGAGTAGTAAAGATTTTATTCTATATCTTTTCTCATTTAGTGTGCGTATTCATCTCAAAGAACAGAGCAATGTATCTACCTTATTAATGTCTCTGTAATTCAAGAGTATTAAAATTGCTCTAAATCCTCCCGAACTGACTCGCAGTGAAAGAAACCATATAACTATATCGCATTATTGTGCATTGTCTATTAATATCCTTGAACTACTAAGCGGCTCCGTCGTCTTTCTATTAGCGAGGATTAACTCAGTAAATTCAGAAATCCTTCCTAATATACGCTTTTTAGCTCCGCTGTCGACTTTGTTGAGCGGAGCTTGTCATATGAGTGATTGTCCATCATCGTCCGTCGTCCGTGTCAATGTTTTACTTTTTCGACTTCTTCTTGAAAACTACAAGCCTGAATGCTTTGATACTTGGTGTATATGTACCTTGGGTAGACCTCTCTCAGATTTGTTCATTTCATGTTGATATCTTCAATTCTCTAATTTTGGTGAATATTTTTGTCATTTTTGGTAAAAAGTGATATTTTCGACTCCTTGTTAAAAACCGCAAGTCCGATTGCTTTGATAATACATATATAAGTACTGCATGTGGACCTCTCTCAGAAATGTTCATTTTGTGATGATATCTTCAATTCTCTAATTTTGGTGAATATTTTTGTCATTTTTGGTAAAAAGTGATATTTTCGACTTCTTGTTAAAAACCAATAGTTCAATTGCTTTGATATTACATATATAGATACTACATGTAGACCTTTCTCAGATTTGTTCAATTTGTGATTATATCTTCAATTCTCTAATTTTGGTGAATATTTTTGTCATTTTTGGTAAAAAGTGATATTTTCGACTTCTTGTTAAAAACTGTAAGTCCGATTGCTTTGATACTATACATATTGTTAATTTTCTAATGATGTCTTCAGTTCTTTAATTGAAATGTGCATTGCTAACAGCGGAGCTATCTCAGCCGATAGGCTGCTTGTTTTCGTTGTTGCTAGGCTACAATGTATGTTGCTAGTACGTGCATCTAGGGTTTTTTCAAATTTAAAGTTTACAAAATATTTGGTGCATATATAAATCATTGTAAAATATTTCTGGATATATGTACTTCAGAGGGACAACCAACAAGGCACTCTATTAAACTTGTGAAAAACAGCCACAACAGTCTTACTAATGTCTAATCACGTACCCCACACTTCCATCGCAGAATTACGGTAACACCCAGGTGCATGCTATAATGCAGCTCAGTAGCGACTACAACTGACTAACTTGAAATGTACAGAACTCATTCATTATTCCCTTGATGTTTAATGTTATTACGACACGTAATAATACCATATCGTCTGTGTCAGAAAACACCCAGGCTAATACATTTAACTGCTCACGGAGTGTGATATAATCATTACCTAATATATTTTTTACCCACCATGGCATTGTTTACAGTCCAGCTACGCTTTACTTCATCTCCGAAACGAACCCTCAGCGAACTTGTTTATTTGTCATTGAATATAGATCATCATCCCTCTGCAAACATATGTATTTTCCCATATAATTACCCTTCAGTTGACTCATTTATCCACCCACTGAAAAGAATATTTACTCACCCAGAAAACATACTTTGCTTCTACTATCATTTCAATATAGAACCTCATCCCATCTTAACATACATGTATGTACATACATAACTCCTCTTTACATATATTTCCCATCTAATGTCTTTATTCCATCTACGCCAAAGGACTAGAACCTTTTTGGTATTAACACACATGTTTGCGTTCATATAGCGTATTAGTAATAGCCTCCACCTATACCTTCTCTGAAATCATTCAATTGCACATGTCATCTAATCCAAGATGTGAGCAAATCAAGGAAACCCATCCATGCATATGTTCATTTAGTCATTCCTGTGTAGACTCCAATCAATCAATCAACCATGCAATTCATTCATCTCAGCTTGGCTGTCTTTGAATCTCGTCGTTGCATTAAAAAAAGTCTAACTCGCATGCATGGCCAACATGGTATAAGGAGAAAAATAAGTCTTAATTCATCCACTGAAACTCAATAATTTCAATCACAGTAGTCCAGAAGCTTTTCAAAATCACGCTTACCAGGGGTAATTGATAAATGGACTGTGATCAATGGGAAATTAAGAATGTATTTAAAGGTGTGCTTTGGGATCATTTATAACGCTTTCTATATTGTGGTCCTGTGACCTGTGTATTATGCGATGAATTTACACAAATTGTGGGAAATATGTTCTACATGTTCAATTTTCTATGTCAGAATGTTGAATGAATGTTTCAGCTTCACATTATATTTTATGATTCTTCTATTATTAAGTCATTAATTCATTTGTCAACACTAACTTGTAAATATAAATATTCCAATGTGTGTAGATTCATAAAAAATCACAAGGATACTCAAATATTTCCTGAAATTTGTGTATATTCATAGCGTCAAATGTGGCATACAAAAGTCCAAAGACTCCAAAAAAAGTTTTTATCAATGATCTCAGAGATTGAATTAGTCAGTAATTATATTCAATGTATTGTACCAAACTCACAAACGGGTCACGTAGTTGCACCTTGCCAGTGAAATACCTAATATCACAAAAGCTGACGCCAAATAAAAGGAAACAGAATTCCATATCCGAACTTGTACATTATGTATTTGTCCTGTAATTACATATACATGTATACAGCCTTGATTGAACACTCAGTGGAAACAGGGAAGACTTTATACTGATGAATAAGGTGACCAAGTTTGGTGAAGTTTGGAATAGAATTAGTAAAGTTATTATGCACACAATAACAATTATTAACGACAACGACAACAGCGACAACGCCGGACAAAATTTTCCCCTTAATATACCTTTCCCTTCCATCTTTGATGGTACGGGCAAGGTAATAAATTAGACAGCTGTTCTTATTCACAGATTTCAATTGAAAATTGCAGTTAATACATCTATACTTTTTTCAATGAAATGAAAATGTGTGTCACCAGAAACAAATTTTTTTTTCAGAATAGATATAACAGAAGAAATAAATGCAAGAAGAGAAGAGAAAGCAAGAATATATAAGTCATTAAGTTGCTATAGCTTCAGTAATTTACATTACAGTACTAAAGACTTTATATGCACAATGTATTAGAATGCACTGTGGTATTTTTTATTTTTCACAGATGAACATGTGTGATAAACAAGACTTAATATGAACTACAAACTCAGTAATCTGAATTAACTCACACAGATACCATTTTATAGTTGATATTTAAGTGACATGAAACTGTCTTTGATTTCATTCTACTGTGAGCTACAGTAGTGTACCTTGAACTCAGTACACAGATATTTGTTAGCAGAAACAAGTGTGTGCCGAAACAGGAGAAGACTAATATATTTCTCTTTTTTGATGCACAATAAATTCAAGGCCTTAATAAATACATATATTTTTACTGTTACAGTACTAAATCTAAGTATAGACTAGACACTAAAGAAAGGTGAAACATCTGAAAAGTAATAGGCATGCAAGACAAATAAATTATATTGTTTTCTTTTTTTCCCAATACCTGCAGGCAATGATCAAAGAAAGACTGAGTGGGTCACATAACCTCATTTGTAGACTAGGAATATTTTGAAATTGATCTCATAATGTAATATTTGTAATGTAACTTTCATTTCTACTTGTATCTTTTATTCAATATTTATCTTGGAGCGAAGTGCTATCAGGCACATAGGAGGAGACTACGCTTACAATAATCAAAGTAATTAACATACTTTTTTTGACGAGATAATTAAAAAGTATATCATTAGTTCAATGTCAAATAAGTTCCAAAAAGCATGACAGTACTAACTTCTGAATTAGATCGCTTACTGAATCAGATTGCTTTCAAAAGCGAAAAAAAACAGAAAGTTTGAAAGTTAAATGCTAGTTCTGCTTCAAGATAATTAGAAAAACGATTGCTACTTTGCAGTACTTGAATTGAGGGGAGAATTGAGGCAGGTGGTAGGTAGAATTGGTGGGAAGGGTTAGATACAGTAATCACCATGCTTGCAAGTATTGGGAAAAAAAAACACATGTATTTTAGGAATGGTGGGGGTTGTTTGAGATTGACATATTCTCACTTATGGACAAGGGTACAAAAAAATTACCTTGTGCACATCCTATGATTATACAATAATATAATGTTGTAACCGAGGAGAAGAGAAAATAAGTAAAGTTAGCAAAAGAAAATAGAAAAAGACTGGGTAAAGAAGATGTTGTAATTAGGAGCAAAGTTTGCACTTTATCCTACTCTATACTGCTGTTACCTCATGTCTCAACATCTTGATTTTACTGTTCTGATGTAAACTAGCTGGCTGTTTTAAAAGGGGATTGCACATGCCCTACAAATGGAAATCATGCAAAAAATAATACAAAAAGAAATATTACTGACATGCAAATGGAGGATTGACGATACAGGCAAGCAGGAATGGTGGGGGTAATGAAACAACACAATGAAATGAATCCTTATCTTGATGACCAAATAATTCCTGTGAAGCCATGCCCATACACATTTTTAGAATTTCCGTCACATGCTGTATTTCTGCCGTGCTCGATGGAAAGTATTCAAATGTGGCATATATAATTTGGTGGCATAGTTTACCCCAAATGGAAGAAATTTCAAACATTGCAACAGTAGAAATAATGTTTGAAAGTGTGCAAATACAGCTTTTTATGGCACACTATTATTATTGGTTATATAATAATCTGTTATATCCAAACCTTTCAAATTGTTATTTATGGTTGAAAGTATAACCAATTTTTGAGTTACACAAGTATTAAAAGATATTTTACTGAAACAACACTTCAGCTATCATATATTTTTAATAATCTACTTCTTTGCAAAATGTTCATAGTAAATCTCAGAACATGAACAAATTAACAGAAATGACCATCACATGTCTACGGATAGGGAACCAAACCATGAGTTATATTCAAGCTAACTTGAGATGATGATGATTTTAAACCAAACACTGATGGACGATCATAAACTGATACTGCCATTTATAATAATCAAAGACAATCTAGATACTGTCTTTGAAATAATAATGGTTTAATAATGAATGTAGAATGCAAATGAGCCAAGATGATATTCAATACTGATGGAATCACATCTGGGGATAAATTTGAAAATCACAAGACACACTGCTGAATCAACACTTGTCATCTATATCACCTCATTAATCTCTGACATACATGATGATGAGCATGGCAAACACAGGAATATTAGATGCCCGAATATGGGTACAAAATCTCGATAAGCTGTGACAATTTTGGATATCAGGACAACATTTCTTTTAAATGTCCTCCCTATTGTTAATTTCTGTTTGTTTGTTTGTTATCTGTAATATAGCAAGCTACTTGTAAAGAAGTGATTAACACTGTCTGGGAATAAACTGGTTAATCTGGGATGAATTTACACCCATCCACCCTGCATTCCTGTTTATATGGTATTTCCTAATATCTAAATCATCAGACTACACTACTATATCCATGGAAACAGACAAGAAAAGGTATAATATCGTAGACCCTTGGGTCTATAATGTAATGCAGTTCAGAAAAAATGTTAACTGTTTGGATATATATTTGTGGGGTTGCATGATACGTGACACCAGTGTACTTTCCAAGCAATTTGACGTACCAGACATACATACATACACTGCATGACATTTAGCTTAAAATAAATGTAATACAGTGGCATTGTACTAGATCTTGTAGACTGGCGCAGTCGGGGCGATTAATTTGCTTTTGTAGTTTAAATAAAATAAAAAAAATTGCGAAATGGAGGTGTTAGCGCGAAATCACCCCGACTCTGCATGGCCCTCTATCGACACTGCAGGAACTTGTTGATTTTTCAACAGGTAATTATGTTAATGAGTGTTCTAATTGACAATCATCTAAGCCAATCACAACGTCTCTTCAACTGACCTCTGACCGAAAAGACGTCGACTGATTGTAGCGGCCCATTTTTTAGCTCCGCTGTCGACTTTGTCGAGCGGAGCTTATCATATGAGTGATTGTCCGTCGTCGTTCGTGTCAATGTTTTACTTTTTCGACTTCTTCTTGAAAACTACAAGCCTGAATGCTTTGATACTTGGTGTATATGTACCTTGGGTAGACCTCTCTCAGATTTGTTCATTTCATGATCATATCTTCAATTCTCTAATTTTGGTGAATATTTGTGTCATTTTTGGTAAAAAGTGATATTTTCAACTTCTTGTTAAAAACTGTAAGTCCGATTGCTTTGATATTACATATATAGGTACTACATGTGGACCTTTCTCAGATTTGTTTATTTTGTGATGATATCTTCAATTCTCTAATTTTGGTGAATATTTTTGTCATTTTTGGTAAAAAGTGATATTTTCAACTTCTTGTTAAAAACCGCAAGTCCAATTGCTTTGATATTACATATATAGGTACTACATGTGGACCTCTCTCAGATTTGTTCATTTTATAATGATATCTTTAATTTTCTAATTTTGGTGAATATTTTTGTAATTTTTGGTAAAAAGTGATATTTTCAAATTCTTGTTAAAAACCTCAAGTCCAATTGCTTTGATATTACATATATAGGTACTACGTGTGGTTCTAACTCAGATTTGTTCATTTCATGATGATATCTTCACTTCTCTAAATTTGATAAATATTTTTGTAATTTTTGGTAAAAAGTGATATTTTCCACTTCTTGTTGAAAACTGCAAGTCTGATTGTTTTGATACTATACATATCGTTCATTTTCTAATGATATCTTCTGTTCTTTAATTGAAATGTGCATTGCTAACAGCGGAGCTATCTCAGCCGAGAGGCTGCTTGTTTTTAAATTCTACGACTAGTACGAGTTACTTTTTAAGTCTTTTTAAGTCTATTTACGACGACGACGACAAACTCAAATTTCAGCGTGCCGCCATGTTGGGTCTGCAGTGTGACCTTTACCATGTTGACCTCATTATTCCTCGTATTTCAGCACCCACCTCATTATAATATGTGCATTCATGAATATTTAATAGCAATGAATTTCCTGCAGAATAAACCAATCGGGGTGATTTCGCGCTAACACCTCCATTTCGTGAATTTTATTATTTTATTCAAACTACAAAAACAAATTAATCGCCCCAACTGCGCCAGTCTATAGATCTTGGAGTCACATTGCTGGAAAGCACACTGGTGAGAATTAAAAGTGGCCAACTATGAAAATGATTTTATTAACATTGTTTGATAGTTTCAGTAAAAAGCAAGGTGATATTATATGTTTTTTTTTTTTTTTCAATAACTAATTCAATCAGTGTGCAGTGAATTATATTACGGAAATGCCCAGGGTGGATAGAGCATGTATGAAGAAACCACAGAGATCGACATTATAATAAATCAGTTGTGGGAAAAATAGTAGCAGCTAGTAAAAGCCATGCCACGCTAAGGTATAAATTAAAAACGAGCCACAATAGATTAATTTATATAACAAGTAAACAGATATCTGCATGACTGTGTAGAGATTAGTCATATTCATCATGGATTCACGCCTTTGCATGATAGTTTTCATCAATTTATTTAGCAGATAAAGGCAATATCTGAATCAACCAATTTGAAAAAAAGCTTACACTTTTTTATCGGATTAGCATACTGATATATACATAGACCGATAGTCCAATTTCATTGATTGAAAGTACAAATATGTAAATCCGCATGAAAACTTCTCATGCATGTACATAATCAGACAGATTTATCTAAAAATGCCAGTTCTCATACGTACATACATAACAATGAAAATCTTGTGAATCTGACTGGTCAGTGTACTTTAAAAAGATTAATGTTCACTGGGGATTTGACCACTTGAATACGCTTGCCAAATTTTAATACATATACTCTTGGTTTTAATTTAACGCATTAAGTGGCCAATAATATGGTGAGAATTGAAACCCAGTATAGTTAATAATCTTTTTATAGTACAAGTCTAGTTATGAAAAGTCACTGGATTTCGCTATTCTACACAGCCATAGAAGTAAGACACAAATAAAATGTATCTGTATAAAATGCCACCTATAGTGCAAAAAAAGACAATTCTTGTCTCTACATTCATGTAAAAAAAAAATGTTAGTAACTCAGTGTGCAGTGTTATTATGTTTAAAAAAAAAATTGATTAAAAAAATGAGCAAAATGAGATACAATACATCACATGGAGTGGTGACTGCAACCTGCCAGAACTACATTGGAAAAAGTTTCTATCTTGTTAGTGTCATAATGCATTAGTTAAACTATACACTTTCTAGAGTTAATTTCAACAAGGTAGGATGTGGGCACCCAATTACAAAATATATAATATAAATTTGATGTATCCTGTAAGTTTATTAGAAATCTACCCTTTATAATGGTTTAGGATTAGAATGACAAGCAGCTGCAATGAACGTGATGTCAAGTGTGCAAAGTGTGCACAAAAACTGGTGACTTTAATAGTAGTTAAGAAGAGAGGAAATAAACACCAAAAAAATTAGAAACTGATGAGTGAGCTTGCAAGGTTAAAAAAAAAATGTGAATCTAGAATGGCTCACTGTGTGAGGGATTTAAAGACACAATGCAAAATCAAGGAGCAGTGTATATATGGCATGCTGAGCGCCAGAAATAAAATTAAAAAAAAAATGCCATCAAAAGAAGCTATGATGATTGGGAGAGGGAATAACCTGATTAAATTTCTTTCCCATGCGTTCAAATATGGACATCTGCAATTGAAAAAACAGTTAACACATCAATTTATAGGTCAATCATGCACTTGATATTAACATACAATGGATATAATTAATTTAGAATAATGAGCAAGAGCATCAGGGTGCATATTTTTGAGGCATAGACATAGATTTTTCTTTTAGCAAAACCAAAACAAGATATCGTTACAGAATTAAAATATTTTAACCATATTTTATTGAATTTGAGAATCAGCATGCCAACATCCTAAGGAAATAAACTCAGAATTGAAGAAAGATTTGTTGTCATGCTTTAAAATAAATAACTGAATTTACAGGTGGAAAAATCCGCAATGTGTTTATTAAATAAAAAAAAAAAGAACTTGGAAGTGTAAGTTTGATAAATAATGTACATTAATAAGAATGCTACATTTTAGGAAACTAACTAATACTAAAAAGTGTACAGTACAGTAAACAACAGTCAAGTCTAGAAATACATTCCATTTCACCACGTACCTGAAACTAACAAATTAAAATAATCAAGGCTGTGAAGGAACTGTTCAAAACGTGTCTCATCTTTTAAATCAAGTGTCATATTTCTCTTCCTTGAAGAAGGTACTCTCATCAATGTACGAGACATTTTGAATAATTAATTCATCAGCGCTATAGGTCAAGCACACTGTGACATCACTTGTTTACATTTTCGACAACCAGTATACATGTACGTATATATATAATGTCTTGCACAGATCGGCACCAGCTCGCAATCTGCTGTGACAACGTTGCCCACAAAATGTTTTATTGACTGGGACACAAACAGCCATACAGCTAACAAGTCACTGTGTACACACATATGCGTAAAACATAAACAAGTGCAGTCTCCAATCTAAAACTAAATCATAAACTATAGCACAGTGAACATATAAGTGAGAGGAAGTTTTTGTACATACCCCTTCTTCGTGTTCTTCTAGAATAAACACCAAGACACGTTCACATTTCAATAAAGCTATTGCCTCCAACATTATTTTGTGTACTACTTTGTGTAAGGATGATTGTTCTTCAAAGATGCCACGGGCTAGATTAAGCAGCATCTAAAAACAAAAGAACAGTAAATTTAAAAATATTTTCAGGATCTCATAGCACTCGGAGGTTGGAGTGTTAAAGACCGGAAATTAAGACAAAGTTAATGCAGCGTGTCCAAGTAGTTAACAGTCTTCATTCCAAGAACTTGTAATATGAACTACATATGGGAATGGATGAGTATTCTTTCTATTCACATTTCAAGGATTAGCTTGAAAATAATATTAGCTATAGTTACACTAGAACAGACGTTATATATAAAAGGTGATTTTCGTTCACGGCAAGATCTCGCGCATTGTGTGAAAGCTGCTGGCCAAACGCCTCAGCAAAAATCAAAGGATTTGATGATGAGGCTAAATTTTTAAAGCTCAATGTTGAAATGCCGACCTTTCAGAGAACATATACCCTTAATTCATCATCCGATGTCTATAGCACATTATTATTATGCTAGAAAATACCCATGAACTAATCTCATGTATCCCACAAGATATTTTGATCTTTGTTTGTCCGTTTTTTTTATGTTTGTTTTCACGCATAATGCCGGCTCTCGTAGTGAATAGAAAATGGTCTATTCAGCATCACCAGACATTCTGCGTGTGTAACCACAAACGATCGTTCTGACCTCAACAGAACCATGCTGACCCAAGGAGAGTAGAAGCATGTATGTAACTGCAAAAGACACATGTCAACATTCTCATTGGTGACCTTTTGTAGTAGTGATTTTGTTTCATTTTTGACTGCAACATCATTTGTACCAAACAAAACCAGAGTATTAATTAGCCCTTATTTTACTGGCATACTGGGAATCCAGTTGTGAAATCTAAACGTGTAAGGATGAACAATTGACTTGAGCTGTTGCTGACAAAAATGTTTTCATCACATCATGAAACTGTCCTCCTGTTAACCAAATGGAACGACACCAGAAGAAGTAAACCATAGCTAATGTTTTTAAAAAAATATTCATGTACGATATAGCAAGTCAAGATGATAACAGTTCAAACACGCGAATATTGCTTGGTGTCATGCACTGAGAGATAGATTATAAACTACTATACACAAGTAGCACATTATATACCATGTCATTTTAATCCAATAAAGGAAACTGTACAGAATACAAAAACAAGCATCTTTTAGACTGAGATAGCTCCGTTGTCAGCAAAGCATATTTCAATCAGAGAATTGAAGATATCAAATGAATAAATCTGAGAGAGGAAGAAATGTGTAACTCCATATCGGATTTTGCAAAGGATTGGGGGATAGAACATTGGACTGTGGAGAGCGCATCTTTTCCATAAAGCCCTAATGTTAAAATCAGCTTTTTACCTATCCTGTTTTCAAGTAACACGTTACTTTTTAAAGATATCATCACAAAATCAATAAATGTAAGAGAGGTCTACACCAAGTACATTTGTATCAAAGCAATCAAACTTTCAGTTTTAAAGAAGAAGTTGGAAAAAATGACACGGCCGATTATAGACAATCAGTAATATGACTAGCTCCGCTCGATGAAGTCGACAACGGAGCTAAAAAACAAGCTAAGACTAGAGTGGCATGACGTCATGGGTGTTTTTCTATAAACTTATACAAGGTTAGGTTTCACAGATCATAATGGTGTATCCACATTTGACGTAAACACATTACATTTATCACTTAAACAGTCTCGTTTCCAAGGTAACATGGTTATTTACCAATCTATATGGACCTCCAAACCTTTGATTTCAGGTTGCCATGTCAACAATTTACCATGCTGAAATTGTAATTTTTGTGATCAGAGCACTGACTAAAAAAAATTGATTTCCTAGAGGCAGGTTGTCATGACAACAGTACTTTCTTGAATTTTTCATTTTCTGAACTAAAATTGCAATAAATATGGCAATTCAATATTATCCATAACACAATTAAAAGATACAGCATCTCAAAAGTTGCAAAATTACTGTGTTTTTTTGGGAGTAATTTTGAGAATGTCACTGCTCTCTCTGTTCTTGTACTTTATTATATGACAAATGAAACATCAGCATTTATATGCTCTGTTTTGTACAAGTGCATGTATAAATTCATTGCGCTATGAACTATTAATGTTTTGGATTGCATGACAATTTAATTTGTGTGAGTCTCTAATGTTGGCAAAATGTATTAAAAACAAAATATGATGTGTTTATTTCATGAAATATATAAATGATGAATTTTCAAATAAATTCTCAGAAAACTATTCCAATTGATTAAGCATTGATTCATGCAAAAAACAAATTGTTTTAGTTCGAGCGGTTTTCGAAAAAAAGAGTACAAGTGCTGTCACAGACAATGTTAGCGTGTCACCAATGTGAAATTTCGTCGGCCTTGTTGAGAGATTTTCTTCAGTTATTTCATGCTGTTATCATAGTTTACTTCAAAATTTCACAGTTTAATACTCAAACTTTGGGTGTAACACAAATGGTCAAGGGGCTGAACACAAAACCTGATGTACTGGGATGACGTCAGCAAGGTATCAACCTACCTTAATTACCCTGTACTGATTTTTGTCAAATAAATGGCACATATAACCCAAAATAAATATTTTTGACATACAAAATGGCCGCCAGTCAGTCATCCTAAAAAATAATGGATGTGCCTCAGTATGCCAACAGATGTTACCAATAAGTTTGAATGGAATCACCCTGCACAACTTGGAGTTAATTTTCCACATGTATAAACAGCAGATTTTCAGGTAGTCAGTCATTTTGAATCTGATCAACAACAAATCTGGAGCATACCTGTATTCTTCCGTCAATTAACATTGTGTTTTTAAGAGATTTCAATATATTCTAGACGATACCTAAACACAGTTGTCAATTTGAGTGACACTGCCTTCACCCATTTACGTCATTTTATTAATTAAATAGGAAATAGGTGTGTTGCAGTTGCCACGTTCAACTATTCAAGCCTTATTCATCAATCACTTGTGCCAGATAGACAATTTAGCAGATCCT